ATAATCTAGATTATGTGAAAGCTAGGTACATCGATTAAATATACAAATTAGAGTTGGTTTTTATATATATAAGGGAATTATATTTGCGAATTATCACAATTAAAATGATTAAAAGTATTAGAAAATAAGAATAAACCACAATTTGATGGCTTAGAGGTGCCCACGTGCTATATACGAGTATATATGTATGTATACATATGTGGATATACATAAATATACAACAGACAAACGACCAATAGTTGTTATGGAAAAGTTAACTATTATTTTGTTGTAAATTAATATAAATGGTAAAATAAGAAGAATCAAAAACGAATAAAATGTAATAGCTGAAAAAATCAAATACTTGAAGGGCTTCACAGCAATAAAATCAAAATTAAAATTTAGTTATATCGCAACAACAGCAAAAGCAACATATAGAATCAAACTAACAAATTATGCTGAAAATCAAAAACATAATAAAATATTTAAATCAATAATCAAAAATTCATAAACGAAACGTAAATTTATGAAAATAGTAAGTATTGATAAATTTTTTGGTAACACAAAACTAGCAGCATTTTCACGAATACGTAAATTAAAGTCAAGAAAATACACTGGTTCATAAGGAAACTGAAATAACAAAATAAGAAGATAATATAAAAAATGTGCGTTTATATTCATCAGTCAATAGTCCAAAAGTTTAATGATATCAAGATAAAATCTGATTTCTGTCAAAAGAACCAAATTACACGAATCATTGCATGTACTCGTATACGTGTGTACTATCTTTATATATATGGTAAATGTTAAAGATAAGAAAATCAATAGTTTATAGACAAGTTATGATATAAAAAATCTTTACAGTATTGTTCGAGTCTACGCAGTAGTAGAAAACAGAATCGAAGAATATTTCGCTATAAATGTTTATCTACAAAATAAATGATTATTTAAATGTAATAAAACGAATGATCGTATTTGCAAGATGACTAGCAATACAGGCGTAAAAATATTGTTCAAAAAGCAAGCAATAAAAACAAAAAATTTAAAAAAACAGCAATGAAACAATAATAATAACAACAACTCTTACTTATAAAAATGCTTACACAAAATATCCAAAAAAGCAGCAGTGACATTATCGACGTTTTTATCGAATTCGCAACTAGAGAGCTCCAGTCACCGATACCTCAAAAAGACTCTTTTGCTGAATTCACAAATCGAACTTGCTTAGCCTCAACGCTCTATGAATACACACGTAATCATACGATACAAACTTTTGGTATGAAATATACAAGCATCTGGTAGTATTAAAAATTAAATTATTTTGATGCGCTGCTAAGGTAAGTAAAAGTTATTTACTCAGTTTTACTGAGATATTTCATTCATCCCCAAGCACACTATTACATGATTAGGCTCGAATATTCGAAAATGAACAATTCATATTTAGAAATGTTATGTTATATCAAAATGCGAAAATATTACAAAAATTATTTAAACATTATTAATAATTACTAATAATGAATATCCTAAGCCTGATGACTTTATTTATACTATCTTAACACGGATAGTTTCTTCTATGATTTCGGAATCCAAAAACGGCATCGTAAAATGGACAAAGTGCAGCTCGCCACTGTTAACACAAAATAATAACTTCAAATATTTTTATTCGTAAACCTTAAAAATCAGGCAACATAGAATGAGTCTTGGTTACGTAATCAACGCGATTTACATAGAATTAAAAAAATTCATTTAATCAGAACTTTAAACAAAATTGGGCAACAATAACTTTTACAGTAAATCGGTCCAATATAAATTTTCGAATGAACTTAATAATTTATCGGTATGCAGGCGGTATATATAAATTAATTTTTTTGTTAAAAAAATGGAAAGTTTTCTAAAATTCTATTGATGAAATATTTATATTTTCACATTTGTACTGCTTTCGTGTAGACTAGAAAGCAATCATAGTTTTGAAATTAAAATCTTAAAAATTTAAGACGATTTTACCTGTGTTTTATATTAAAATTATTAATATATCAGAGATTCCAATTTTATAAAGTAACATTAAGAAATACAAAAAGTTTTTCGTTTTTAGATTTACTGAAAACAATTATCAGTATGAATTGAAAAAAGATAAAAGTAAACTATAAATAAATAATTAAAATTTACTAGTGCATCGTTTTGTGATAATATTGAAATGTATTTAACTTTAATGGAAATATATATATTCTATATATACATATATTTTTAATATTACAATATTTTATTAATACTAATTAAATCAAAAGAAATGTGATTAAAACTGAGTAATTATTATAAAAGTTTTACTTAAAGAACTTAAAAGGTTTAAAATAAACTATGCAAATATTTTACTTGATTCGTTCGATCTTCTAACTGCAAAATTAGTATATAAATATTGTTGGTTGGCATCGCTTGTATGAATTCGTGATTAAAAAAAATTAAATTCAGTGAAAAATGCAAGTTTTTTCCCTGATTAATATAAAACAAAAAAATAGTGCCTGCACAAATTGTGTATCATAAAAAAGTTTATTTTCAAAATACTGCTCCTATTATATACATTTTACTCTTCCAAAATAAAATTAAAAAGTATTCACTTGTGATATGCACAACACACAAAAGTATGGCATTTATAATCAAATCTCGATTCGTGAGATTTAAAATATTTAATGTCATCGGATATTCAAAGCTTGTTGTTTTAATTATTTGCAAATACTGGAAAATTTGTAGAGTCTCGATTTACTTATTTATTTTTTCTTACCTACTAGAAATTTGCATTTTTCTCAAAGAGAAAATATTAAATAACAAAATTCAAGAAATAAATGAAATCCTCAATTTCCATTCCAAGTGAAATGTCCTTAATTATTATGTCTTATGGTTAACACACCCTAGCTCGAATTTAAATAAAACTGAAATTAAATAAACAAGACTACTTTTCAAACCTGATCAATTTAAATTATAAATATAAAATAAATGATAAACTTTCATCTATTAATAAATTCTTGTAAAGTTTTAATTATTTTTGAATCTCAATTCATCAACTTTCGTACATATCTATGATCCTAACATTCACTTAGCAGTACCCATAATACTATCAACTTAATTATTTAGTTATTTTTAGTCAAAAGAGTATTGAAATTTTTCTTTCCAATATAATTTTATGCTAACTATACGAGTATTTCATGCCATCATTTATGCATTAATTGTTCAACACAAATTTTAAATTTTATTTAATATTTTTCTTTATAGAAACTAAGCAATTTTTACATAATCCATCAAGATGTTGACATATTTTTTCTTCGCTAAGATATTCGGTTGAATGGCTAATACGATTACAAATAGTACTACCTTCCAAGCTTAGCTCCATTTTCGAACGCTAAAAGGGTAAAGTCACTCTATAAGTTTGGAAAATATACTGATTTCTGAAAATTTTTTGAAGGAATGTGGGAAAAGAAACAGAATTTATATTTAACCATTGCATTGAACATATATTGAAGTATAAAAAATACTTCTAAATTATTATTTTGTTACAAAATAGCGGTAATAAAGTCTAAATTTAAAAAAAAAATAATAAGTTTATATTTAATCGAAAAATGGGTATACGTAGGTAGTCCCAAAATATGTATTTTTGAAGCTCCCAATTTGAAAAATGTGATTTTGAGAAAAACCGGTTCAAAGTTTCCATTGTACTCAGCGCACGCTCTGAAGGGTGGCAGCAAAATAAAGAGTTCAGCTATTTGAAATATTTTTTCACTTCAAAACCAATTGCATATCATTTCTAAGACCCAAAGGTACCCTGTGAGCGTTTTCCAAAATGAGTAGCTTTACCTTAATGTTTCGATACAATTCAAATTCAAACTACACAACACTATTTTCCATAACGAAAAGTAATGAGCTATATATAAATACATACATACAAATATGTATATATTTTTTTCTTTTTTGAAACTTCGTCGTGCTGCAGACATGGATGGTAAAATTATTGTTGTATGTTCTCAGAGCAAGTAGTGCATTTCGAAGTTTAACGCAGCCAGGCTAAACATGTACCATGCTTCAAACGTCACAAACCAAGACAACACAAGCAATCTGCTGGCGTTATAATTTTAGCTGATTTAAGAATTTTCCAAGTCGAACCGAATGCAACGCAATCTTACAACCTAAAAGAACTAAATTTCTGAAACTAGTTTAAAATTATAAACCAAATGCAACGTCAATAGTCAATATATACTTTTGATTTGTTAAAAAAACTGCAATATTTTTTTAAACACACATTTATATTGTATTAGAAGATATTTATTGAAAATTTTCTTACTTTATAGTTAAACAATAAAGAAAAGATATGGAAAATGTTGGCATGAATAGAATTGTATTAAAAAGAATTGGCGTAGTTTATAGTAAAAGAAATGAATGTACTTTTCTTACCTTGTTAACTAAAATTTTCAATGAAAATTAAGAAAAGAGCGTACTTTGAATTGCGAGAAAATACTAAGCAAGCGATGTCAACATTTTATCCAAAAACCTAAAGCAATAATTCAAAAAATGCAAAAAATATAATTTTTCCAAATTCGTGTAACTGATGACAATACTATGAAACTCGAACAAACGAACAACATCCTAAAAAATTATTTTATTAGTCTGCATGCACTAAAAATATATAGTTTAATAAATAAATGTTCTTGAATAAATAAATTTGAAACTTATCATAAATAATAGTAATTTTTAATTTCATAATTTTTATTTTGAAAATTTTTCCACCATCCATGAACTTCTAGACTATAAACAATTGGTCAAATATCTAGGTTCATCTCTAACTCCCTACTACTACTCTCGTTCATTTCGATCAAAAAAAAAGGAAATTTTAAAATATATATATAATTCCACTCTGTAAGCGATATTTTACAAATGCATAAGCGAAATACTAAAAAATTAATGAAATTCAAAAAATGAAAACAAGCATTTTTTCATATGATTTCCATATTCTTTTCTTTTCTTTCATTTAATTGTAGGGTCCCCGGTGTGGAAACCACGAGACATGATTAATTTAGGCGATGCACAGTCGACGACGCGCAAAGATGATGCGAACAAATAAAGCTTGAAAAGAACAAATAAAAAATTGAATTTAAAAGTTCAATTTCAATTTAACAGAACGTAATTCCCAATAAGAAAACCATGTAATAGCGGTCATTGAAACAGAAAACAATTGATTATGGCTAACACTGTTATGTACTTATTTCATACATCAAATTATCGTATTTCCTGTTAGTGAGAGAAAAATGTGAACAAAAACTAAATATATTCATGGACAAATAATGCTTCAAAATGCTTGGTCGTTCTTTCAAGTTAAAAATTAAAATAATGTAATCAACAATTCTTAATATAAATGTCGGAAAAATAGTAAGAAAACAGGTTTTGAAGCTTTTCATCGCTGTTAAAATTCCCTTACCTTCATAACAAATAAAAATATGTAAACCTTTTATTACCACATTTTGTATTTCTATACAAGAACTTGCATATTTTTTTTATTTGTCACCAATTTTAATCATTTTAAGATATTTGAAAACAAAAATAGCTTTTGGATGCGGAATGATTAACTTTTACTCCTATTGTTTTCTTATTTTTGTTTTTTCATGCTTAAACTATATTTTTTTATTTCAAAAAATATGTATATTTTTTGATTTTTAAATTTGTATACGCCAAAATATATATTCTAAGTACTTATCCTTGGGCTACAACGTTTCCTTTTTCATTAATATAAATTCGCATATTGCGTGAAGAAGTGAAAACTTCAATTGGCTTAGGTCTCATGAATAGAGTGAAGTGTCCAAATGACTAAAAACCTTCAACGGTAAACCATCGATCTGATGATACAGTCCAATTATTAATATTGTTCACATTTCCCATCTCATTTTTCCATGACAGACAAAATTGGAGGAAAAAGCATGTGTAGCAAATAAACAAAGCAGCAAAAATCCAGCTTCTTTTTGAAGGAGGCATGCAAGTTTTCAAAATTATATGTTAGACTAAAACAAAATGCAAAATAGTAAAATTAATGAATACTAGAAAAATGCAAATTCACACGTTGTGAATTTTTTTAGCATTTTAAGACATACTAAGTAAGAAGTAGAAAATTTAAATTGTAACTAAATGCATATGTTATTTGAAGCTCTTAAGATTAAACATAAAGGAAACATGGAACATATGAAAGAAATGTTAAATTAACAAAAAATTAAGCACATGAAATAACGAAATAGAACAGGCGCAAAAAGAAATGTGGAATGGCCTAGCGTGAGATGAAGGATCTTCATGCATACGAGCTCGCAACATAGATTTAATAAATAAGAAGATAACAATTAAAAAATAGTGAAATTTCGAAAAGGAAAACGTTTTTAATTAAATCGAATTAATTAATATATAATTAACAAATTTAAATAAATTAAGACATAGCACTATGAAAAATTATAATAGTTATGAAATAGTAATAAATTGAATAAAACACGATTAACACGTGTGAGAAATCATGCTATAAGAGCGCCTTTAAATCATCGCGTCATATTACAGTCTTTCTTCATTATTTTATTTTAAAGGAATAACGCTTATTTTTGTTAAATATAGTAAATCATATAAGTAATTTAACTAAACATTTTTTTTGATTTGAAGAAAATTACGTAGCTTTGATCTCACTTCTCTTCTCGTTATGTTACAAACGTGGTATTTAAACTAATCCATCCCTTCATCGCCGACGCACGTGGTTAATAAAACTGAGGTTAAATATTTTTTCTTCTTTTCTGGTTCTGAATTGAATTTATACTCATATTAAATTCCTTCGTTTTCAACTGCTCAGAATTAGCTATATTTACTATACCTCTGTTTCATAAAAAGTAATCGAATAAATTCAATAGATCAATGGTAATAAAAAGACAATTCAAATACATTTTTACACCCAAACACAAAAATAAAGACGAAGTAAGTGTCTCGAAACAGAGATTGACCAATTGCAAAAACAAATAACACAAAAATAGCACAATTTTTGAAAACATAGTTTAAAGTGAATCATGAAGAAAGGACGAATTGAGATACTAAAAACTACATATATTAAAAATAGTCATACCAAATGTGTGGTCACTCAAAAAAAAATTTACCGAAATAACTAGTAAAAACGAAAGTAAAAAAGAAAAATATGAATATATCTTAAAACGGAGCTATGTATGTGTATTTTAATATAAAACTAAGTAAAACCGCAGGACTAGTTCATTTAAAATAAAGTCTAGAAAAAATTGAATATATTGAAATAAAATGTTATTGATCGTCACCACTTGAATTTATTTTGGTTTCATTTTTTACAAAAAGCGAAAATTAAGAAATTTTAAACAATTTTCATCGCATATTTTGCTATAAAACACTCGTCTATACAAGAAATTAAAAAGTTAAAATTGTACACCTCTTTTTAATGATTCTCACAATTCAAAGTTTCACTATTGTGAGAAGCTTGCCTCGCAAGTAAATAATTTTAAATGAAGTGAAGTTAGAAATATACTTTCTTGGTATTCAGTTATGAAAATATTTAGAAAATAGTCGTCATTGAAAAATTTCGGCAGACATTCGCAACGTGATACGGAATACAACACATATTGAGTTCCGTTAATCATACTTTGTTTTATCATCTAATTTTTTGTATCAAATAGTACGATGCTGATATTTCTTCACCGGATGTAAGTCCATACTATTCCAGATTGCTGAACCTACAACTATAAAACGCAACTATTGACAAAACATTATTAAAACCACAAGACACCGTTTAAAAGATCGGACATATCATGACGTCATAGTGATCTGGCACAGAATGTTATACTCGCACAAAGAATATGAACAGCTTAATTTCAATTATATTGATATTTAATTTTTTTAATAATATGCAGTCCAATTTAGAGCTGATTTCATAGTTTCGAAACATAAAGATACATTCGTATGATAAAAAGTGAAAAATTATAACTATCGCAAACAGCGTTAGAAAATCACTAATAGGACAAATAACAACCACATGAAAAAATAAAATAAATGAAGACACCTAATTATTGTTGAAATGTAGCATTTTTAAGGAGGACCCCACTCCCCGCCCCACCCTTTTTAAAATGAAGCTAATAACGAAACACCGATGCTCGTTTTTAAATGACTTACAGTATGCATTAACTAACTGTGCAAACAATACAATGAGCACATAGACAGTTTGAGAGGTGAATGATAATCGTACATAAATATAATATATAATATCAAGGAGTAAAGTTGAGAGTATTGAGAAGAAGAGAATCAAGCAGCAATGAGGCAATACTAAACCAACATACAACATACAAACAAACATATTATATATAAATAAAACATATTATATAATAATAAAACGAACATAGTAATGAATTCAAGCAGAAATATACTCAATTAAACAAAATTAAATCAAATTCAAAGAAATTCTAGTGCAATTTCATTATGAAACAACATTATCATCAAATTGTTTTTATTTTAAATATTATTTATACTGTGTCTGAGTACATAAAAATGTGTATACATACATATATCATATTATATACACAAAAATATGTGCACAAATATATTACGTGAATTGAATGCCTTCAGTTATCGGAATCAAAAGTTTTTTAACAAAAATACCAACCCAAATCGTAATTTATAGTATATATACACAAATTCATACCTACATACATATGGCATAAAATATATGCTATTTAATTAATTACACCACATAGCAGAATAGCAATAGATTGACAAATACTCATGCATATGTACATTCTCAAAAGACTTTTACGTATTTAATTTTATACTCATATAAGCAAATATATGTGAATATACATATGTATGTGTGCCTGTGGTTATAACGATGACTATAAGACTAGTCATTAGAAAATCGTTGCTAGAAAAGTCGCTTAACACATTGGTAACATGCAGCCATAACACATACATACATACATACGTGCTTATTTAATTTTAGATAAGTACATGTTTAATCTTTAAGTAAAAAATAAAAGATGTTAATTAAGTTAAACTAATTTAAGTAAATAAATACATCAATGTGAAGTTTAAGGGATCATTACGTTTGTTTGAATTTAGTTGCACATACACACATACCTATTTAAACTAAAGGATAAAAAGAAAAACAGAAATATAAACGATTTAATACAATTAAACACAATTGAGAAACAAAGATTAAAAAAAAGTAAATGAATTTATGAAAAAAATATAAAAATATTATATGTACTCGTAATTTAATTGAAATGCAAAGATTACGGAAAACAAACTAAATGTATTGAATAAATTGAAACTGTTTAATTATATATGTAAGTATTTGAAAAGTAAAAGAGCAAACACTCATACAATCTTACACTGTTTATTGAATGAAAACGGAAAACAAAAAACTAAGAAGTGAAAAGTGAAAATAATAAAACTAGCGTTCTCGAAAATAAATAAGTAATTTCAGAATATGTCAACACACACGTTAAAAATACACAACCCCTCCCCCCCCCCCCCCCCCCNATGTGTGACATATTTACATCAAACTAACCCCCCCCCCCCCCTGTTTACACACATATACATACTTAAATCAATATGGGCGAATGTATTAGAATCATTTGAATGATATGATCATAAACTGGAAATAAAAATAAATAACACGCAAAGTTAATTTGCAAAAATTTCACTTAAGAAATGTAAAAAAGCTCCCTTTGTGTTTTAGTTGCATTTTTAGATATTCTTGTATACACAAACAACTATTGAACAGAAATTAGTTTGGGTACGTACGTAAGTATATTTTTTACACCTGCCATGAATATGAAGTCATACCATAACTTAATCCGAAATATAAATAGTTTTCTGTGTGCAAGACACCGCTTCGCAGGCTTCTGTTTATGCCACATATTGTTGAATGCGGTGGGATGTCTACAATAAAAATTATGGGAATAGAGCTTTTTTGTTCAGGCAATTTAGTAAATTCAAAGTGATTTTAATTGTTTGTTACATATCTCTAAGTATTTCAATTTTTTTTTTTGCGCGAAAGCCTTAAAATATAGGATTTTCGACCTTCGTTAAGCGGGGTAGAGCAAACCTTGTTTCATTTCTATAATTTATGGTATTATAGTTTCTTTTTGTAAAAAAAAAGTTGGGCCAATATTGCGCACTTTCCCAGTACTTGTATATGCATTTTTTTATGCGAACTGAGCGAGCAAGTATCGTAAAGAAATACAAAATCTAGTTAATTCGGTTCTACCTTATGGAAAGAAATATTTGGAAATTAGAGACAATTTAATTTTATCTATGATTGATAAAATAGTATGTCATGCATTAGCAGAAACAGCAATTACACAAAAATGTAATTTACATATATACCTACATGTCGAGCTAGTTCGGAAGATTTTAATAAGAATGTTGAAATGGTGAACAAAAATGTAAAAAAAAATGTATGTGGATTAAGTTCTTTGAATGACTGCTCCGCTTATCTTACAAATTATGCATAAAAAAGTGGCAGCCTCGAGCAGTCAGCGAGAATTATTAGTTTTGGAAAATAGAGCACATATTAAAAAGGAATTTAAGACAAAATTGGTCTGATTGTAGACCAACTGAAACCTGACTTTGGGAACCTTAATGATGACAAAACTTCCAGCCGTTTCTTTCGAAATCCCGAGGTGTCAGCACCAGTTACTAAAATTGACATAAATTTGAATATAAAAATACATACTCGTAGTTGTTTCTAGTGGGGAAAATATTTCATTGAATGTTATCCCTAGTATAATATGCCTCCACCACTTCACAAATATTTCATCCATGGACCAGAGATAATATCTTACGCTCTGTTACAAATCGGACAATTGTCGGAAGAAGCTCAGGAAGCTGGAAACAGAGATTGTAAGACTTTTACAGAACATTTTTCTCGCAAATATAGCAGAAAAAAAGCAAACGAAGATATATTTAGCAGACTTTTAATCAGTTCCGACCCCGTAATATCTACCAGAAGAAAATTACCACGAAAGTGAAGGATTTTCCGGGAAAAACCTTACAGATGAACGTCATTTAGAGTGGCAATTATAATGAAGTTGATGATGAAGAAGGCGATGGTGACAATTCAAGCGAAGATGATTATGATCATGAAGATGATCATGATGGGGAAGAAGTAGTTTATATATTTTAAATAATATTTGAACCTTAAATAAATAAAAATTGTTGAAAACCGATTATCACCATATTTTTTTTTTTATTTATATATTTCAACATTTTTTTCTTATGTTTATTTTTCAAACTCTGTTCGCTGTTAACAGTGTGGCATACGCTAGTAGTTGTACGCTCTTGAAAAAGATTTTAGCTTCTAGTAGCTTTGAGTATACCAAAGTCAGACATCCCGGCGTAGAGGCGGCTTCGACGAAAAGATGGTATTGTCGTTCCTCTTTTCACGAGTCTTTTCCAGGATTTGGCGCGTGGTAATATGTGGTCTAAGGTTTATTTACCAGGTCTAAAGACACGCTGATAAGGTCTAATCAGTTTCTTAACAGTAGGCTTCTTTCTTTCACAAGAAATGAAAGAAAAATGCTCAATAGGACCTTAAATGCAATGGTGAAGAGGCTTGTCCCACAGTAATTGGCGCAGAATGTGGGATCACTCATTTTATGAATTGGCAGAGTACACTGCAACCCGGCATTCTATAAATTTGCGACTCTCACGACAGCCGGTTCTACGCACCGGAGTTGAGCCGGATTTTATCCGTTCAAGGGTTGTCACCCTTTCGGCAACCTACCCCCGTTTAGGTCAACCGGTAACATTAGTCTAAGTTCGCCAACGGAGCAACACCTAGCAGCTGCGTTGCTCCAAATCCTTCTTATCAGGGCTGGCGTCGAAACCAACCCTGGTCCGATGGACTATTTCTGCTGCGTGTGTCATACAGGACTCCACCACTCCTCCACATCGCTAGATGCAACAAGTGCAATGGTTGGAGTCACCTTTAGACCTGTATAGGCCTTAAGACCCACAGGGAGTGGACCACGAGTTATCTGGTCCCATGTTGCCAATCGTCCCCCCCCCCCCCCCCCTCCACGACAGTGCCTTCAGCACGTTTACTTACTCAGGGTAATCAACAGATCTCTACGTTCTCACGGAGCTCCCCGCAGGATGACTCCCACCAACCTCCACCCCCATCCTTACCCACAACCAGCTCCTCATCCTCCTCCCGAGGGCTACCCAGTAGTCCCCCCCCCACAATCTGTTCCGTGTGTTAGGTCATAGTGCGTCGGAACGTGACCTCAGTCAGATGCAATTCTTGCTCTGGCTGGTGTCACTTTCGGACGTGCTCTGGCCTGCGCACCATCCGTGAGTGGAGCGATGCGTATGTTGCCCCGTGCTGTAGGAGTCTGCCCCGCCTGTTTCAACAAACCTTCCGCCAACTAACACCAATGTGCGGAGCCAACCTCTGCAGGCATTACAGCAGCCTCACCCCCCGCATCACGAACGTTCCTCCGAGACAGACCCGACTTCTACAATTTAACTGCAACGAACTCCAGGGAAAGATCGACGAGATAGTCGACTACATGAGCCGGGAGCACCTGTCAATTGCTGCGATACAACATAATCCGCAACGAACACGAGCAAGACCATGGTGGGGGTCTAGCGTTCATCCTGCACAACACCGTGCAGTATCGTCTTATTGACGGCGACATCGACCGCAGGTATACTACCCTAGAATGCCAGGGCATAGCTATCTGGTCAAGCGATGCCGAGATTGAGATATTTAATTTATACATTCCTCCAGTTACAAGTTGCTCAGCAGGATACACCCCTGATATAGGTGCGCTACTCAGGGGCGAGACTCGTTTGGTTTTGGGCGACTTTAACGCGCATCACGGTCTTTGGCATTCTAGCCTGTCAAATGACCGTAGAGGAATGGAGCTGGCAGAACAGATAGACGATTCGACATTCTGCACAATGAACGACAACACCCCCACCAGAGGTTTGGGTAATTGCCAAAGCTCGCGGGATATAACAATTGCGAGTGCTAGTCTGATAAACAGTAAAGTGTGACGACCTATACTGACACTAGCATCGGACCACTTGCCCATACAAATCTCGATTGACAGGCCTCCCGACTTTGTTTCCGCGGACTGGCCTGGCTTCACGGAATTCCATGAGAACGCCTTAAATGCTCTTCCCACTCCATCAGACGTCACCACTGGTGAGCGTTTATTCCACAGGGTCGTCGTCACCGCTGCCGCCCGCTTCTTCCCGGCAGGCCGAAAGGGGAAATCCGCCCAAATTTTCCGACTGAAGCGGCGGTATTAGCATCCAGGCGCAACACCCTTCGAAGCTCCGATCCTGGGAATCCCCTAATTAGGGATTTAAACACGGAGATTCGGAGAGTAGTCAACAATCATAAGCAGAAAAAGTGGGAGGAACACCTAAGGACCCGCAACCTCTCCTCTCGGGGAACCATTCTCTGGAATACAGGCAAGTCGCTGTCTAACCCGATGAGACGCGATGACCGGGTTGAAATTTCATTCGTATGTGCAAACTGTCAAACACCATCGCGGTGCTTGATTTCTCCAGGGAGGAGGTTCAGTGGGTCATCGGGAAGGCGAAAGCTTCCAAATCCATCGGCCACGACGGAATAAGCATGCTGATGCTCAAACACCTAGGACCAGCGGGAGCAGAATTTCTCACGAGGGTCCTCTATTTGTCTTTCACCACCCTAACTATACCCAACGTGTGGAAAATGGGCAGGGTGGTCCCGCTACTCAAACCGGGGAAACCAGCTAACAGAGGAGAGTCCTATCGGCCGATAACTCTCCTCTCCCCAGTAGCGAAGACAGTTGAGGCCTTACTGCTCCCGACATTCACTCACCATCTACGTCCAGCAGCTTTTGACACAGTCAATCACTGCTACTAACGGACATTGAGGAATCCTCGTTACCGCCGCGGTTGCAGAGATGAGTCATGGGCTACCTGAGTGGCCGACAATCATCGGTAATATTCTGAGGTGTAACATCAAAGCCCGGAAAAATTAAACAGGGGGTTCCGCAGGGTAGTGTCCTCTCCCCTCAATTTCTACAATTCGAAACTCCCTCTTACACCAGAAGGAGTTTCCCTAACCTCGTATGATGATGATTGTATGATAATGGCGTCTGGCTAGGGCTGACTGACATTGCTGGCTCACAAATTTATATATGCATATGAATACAAAATTTATCAAAAAAGCAGTAAATTTAGGTTAATAAATAGTTTTATTCAGTTAAATTAAATTAAACACATTTGTTATATTAAAATATAAGCTGTCAGAAGATTTTAATTTAAGTATGGAAAATATTTGTTTTACTGTATCCATTAACTACAAATATTGTATGTACATAAATCAATGAATTCTCGAGTACCTACATTGAATTGTTTACAAAAAAAAAAAGCAGAAAACGCATACCTGTGTATCGTCTATTTGTGAGGCATTTGTACTAAAACGTACAACGTTCATTGTTTCAAACAGTTCCTATTTTTTAAGCCCTAGGGGTGTTAGAGAAAAGAGCGAGCTAATGGGCACTAAAAAATTTCATTTTAACTATTAAATTTTTGAAAGTTTCAATTATGAAAACTTGCAACTTTTTAAAATATTACATGTCATTAAAGGCATTTAAAACGGACGAACAACTCTGTTTAAAAACGCGAAGACCTTTAATGAAAGATTTAGAGCATAGAAGAACATGAAATACAGCCAACAGATTTAATATTTTTTTTAGAAATATTTATTTTCATCAGTCTCCAGGTATAAACGTTTTTGTATCTAGGTGTTCTTTCATTAGCCAGCTGATGCTAATGGACGCACCGCTTCCAATCTTAAGCTAAAGAGCCGTCCACTTAAGTGATGCTTGCTTTGTGTTTAATTGATAACAAAAACTTAAACGTTCGTATTTTCGGAAAAATATTTCTTCCTTACAACATTTTGCTTTTGTTTAAATTAATCTTATAACTAATCATTAATTATAATTTACAATTGCTAAGCTTTCGCTAATTATTATATACATACATATATATTATATAACTGCATAAGGAAGAAATTATTTGTATTATTTTAATTAATTTAATTAACCTAAATGGTAGATCTGACGCAAATGATACCAGATTTTCTTCAATTACTATTATACTACAACTGTATAATAATTTGTACACAAATTTCATTCATTAATTTTCACCCTTTGATATTAATCCATCTTAAATTATAACTAAGGACCATTATGGGCATTGCCCAACTTCATTTGGGGCAAAGCCGCAACTTAATTCGGTAATACATCTGACAGAAGTTCTTTTGTGGTGTCAGGCAAACTGTCGGGGAACTTTATATCAAAGGCAACCAATAAATCACCCCGCCTCGTTGGCTCTTTAGGGAACGGCAACCCTCTGCCAGGTATACGTTTGACTGTATTGGGCTTCACGATCTCTCCCTTCGAATTCACCGCTATACGATCGCCTTGTAATGTCGGCACCTGTACAACAGTACCACAGAGCGCCTGCTTCAAACTAATATGAGCGTTGTATTTGATATCACTGCCTTCGCGTTTAAATAGCTGGTGTGGCTTATCTCTAATTATGAAAATGATGTCAGCCGGCACCTTTCCAGGCGTTTGATCGCCTTCTTTCTGGAAGGTAATCTTAGTTCCAGCCTTCCATCCAGGTTTAACTGTGATATTCAGTACTTTTTCCTCTTTACGTGGCTGACCTGTTGTCATTGACATTCGTGATATCTTCATTTTCTTAACACAACCTTTGTCAACTTCTTCTAATGAAACATATAAATCGTGCTCAATCGGCGGATCTTGAACCTGTCTTTTGCGATTAGGCTGCGCATTGAATGACTGAGAACGGAACGCTCCACCACCACCCATTTGAGAATAGATATCATCCTCGTTGCCGCCACCAGACATAAATATATTTTGTGAGTCTCCAAACATTCGGCTGGGATCACTCGAGCTGAAGAATATTCCGAAAGGATCTGAAGAGCCGAAAAATTGTGCAAACGTCGCGCGCGGGTCACCATGGAATTGATAAGAATAGTTGGGACCACCTTGTTCGCCTGGACCACCAGGTACGCCGCCCTTTAAACCTTCTTCGCCGTATTGATCATATATGTCACGCTTCTTTTTATCCGAGAGTACTTCATATGCTTCGGCAATTTCCTTAAACCGTTCTTCTGCTTGTGGTGTCTTATTCTTGTCTGGATGGTATTTCAATGCCAATTTCCGATATGCCTTTTTAATCTCATCATCATTGGCACTTTTGTTGATGCCCAGAATTTTGTAGAAATCCTTACCCATTTCAATTGAAATGTGTTAATTTGAGGATTGAAAACTGCGGAGAAGACAAAGACAAAAACAAAAATATTAGGAAAACCAAGATGTATTAGTAAACCAACGAAAATGTATATGATTGTTTGCAAACCAAATCTGCAAACACGAACTACAAGGTAGACAAATGCTATTTTCGCAATTACGTAGAATAGAGATATGTATGTACATTGAAGAACTTTCTAGAATCACGTTTCTTATCGTTTATTACTGAAACAAACGGCTGTACGTTTGTATGAATCAAATGAAATTTATGCCAACTGTTTCCGACTATTACAATAACAGCTTATGCTATTCTAGCAAAAATCATTTAACACAAGCCATCCCGTTCCAACGAACGCACTTACATATATTACTAGAAAAAAAATTTTATGGGAACAAAACGCGTTAGTGGGGAGCGTCACCAATTTGCTGCAACTGATTTCATCGTTAATTCAAGAATCTCATAACGTTTAATCAAATGTTTTAATTACTGCGAAGATATTCAAAATGTTTCATAATCCTATTTTATTCTTCTACTATATATCTTCGCAATTACTATTCTTTGTTTGAAAACATCGCTTGGCACACAAATTTCACTTAACTATGATATTTACCTTTTATTCGTTTATTCGCTGCTATATAGATTTTCTAAATTTTTATGCACTTTTAATTTTATTCCCAAAGTTTTTGGAACAAATAACACAATGGTAACTTATTACGATTTTCTTATATGTAATTATTTCCTTCACTTGAACTCAATTAGCAAATATTTTTGCTACAATATTAATAACACGTTTCGTTTTCAACTGTTCTTTTAATAATGCAGTCATTCGCCAAGCTCGCTTCTATTTATAGATGGATTGTTTCACGTATTCTAGAATGTTCCAGATCAAATTGACATTTCTCACATATTCCGTTTCGTTATAACGACATTCCGCTGTAAAAGTAAGGTGTATTCACAAACTGTTACAGGCCTATTCTCACTGTTACCGGTAAAGTAAATTTTGTTACTTTTCTTTAGCACCCGAAATTGAATTTGGTATTCTGGCGAACTGGTTACAATATTTGAAAACAAATTGGCAGCACTGTTTTTTTCGTCCATGTCAAATTTCATTTGCCAGTTGATAGAGTAAAAAGAAATATATTCACATCGAAATGGAAGAGGTTGCAAAAAAAATTAAAAACATTTGAACCTAATTATGGAAAATATGCCTTTTAAACAAAAAAAGCTGAATGGAAACGTTATCTTACAAATTAAAGGGCTATTTTTAGTCTCGAAAACTTCTCAAAATACGTCTTTTTGCAATTTTTTCCTCATCTTGAATAAATTCCGGACCTAAAATATGCCTTCCCATTTTGGTTTTTATTTTTTCTCAAACTTACAACACAAAATCAAACAGTAGATATGTTTGTTACCTCCTTTTTCCCTTGTAACAATATTTAAAGGGTAACAGTGAGCTCAGAATACGAAATGGTAACAAAATATACTGAATGGAAAATTTTAATACCTAGGAAAATTTTGTTACCTCCTTAGAATAGGCCGGTAAGAGATATGTTTAACGCGGTTCAACATTATCAACGACACTGCCAGCTAGAAGCCTGATAGTTGAAGCAGAGAACGTGTAACATGTTATACGTTCTCTGGTTGAAGTTCCTAATCAAAGGCTTTAACATGAAATAAGATTGAATTTAACGAAGAATTTTATTCATTATTTGAAAAAATTAAATAGAATTCAAGATTTAGTGACCGATTAACCTATCACCCAGACGGAAGCACATTCTCAAGCTTTACGAAGCTTTGTTTCGAAGGTATTTCTTTATCTACAACAACATAAAGAAAACTTTTCTTTCGGATAAATACATTTACATCTGTATGTGTGTACGGTTGTTAAGTTTGCAATAAAAAATTTATTGTATAACTTTTTCGCAATCATTCCTATGCTTGAATATATCGTAGCTTTGATTTTCACAGATCTTACAAAAGTTCGATTCTAGAACCCTTCACCACTACGTAAATCGAAGAATATTCATATAGTGACAATTCTACGAAAATCGAAACTACGATGGATTCGAAAATAAGGTTGAATAGTTTGGAATTCCCAGGCGAGTTTACATATCAAGTGTACAACTTTGCTTCCGCCGTTTTTTTCCAAAATTAAAAGCTTTTTTGCGAAAAAGTGCTTACAGATATATAATTCAAAGTATTGTCCTTCGCTAGCGACAACTTTCTTCCACCTTTCCGGCAATTTTTCGGACTCGAAAAAAGGAGTCCTCTTTTGACGCTATCCATGAAGCAATCCATCTTTCCAATTCTTCGAAGGATTGAAAATGTTGATCTGCCAGGTCGTGAGCCATCGAACGGAATAGGCGATTTTCGGCTGAGCTCCTCTTCAAACTTGTGATAAAAGCGTCTTGATGTTTTTCTCACAAATTAAGGAACTTACAATTTATTAACGCGCCTCCGAGTTGCTGTTGGTTTTTTATGAGGAGCTTATATTACATGACAAAAATACACGACAGGAAATTTAACTTAATTCCATATTTTAATTAAATACACAACGCTAACTACTCGTGACCGTGAGCCTCACACGTATTCACTATATATTGATAATCAAGTTACAAATCTTTTTCCTTTTTTTACATTTATTTGAAGTGTGTTCTTCTTAAAGCACGATCTTAAGGATCCAAATAGATTAAATTTGAAATATGAGTTAAAAATTAACAATTTAAGAAATTATCTAAATTATAATGTGAATTCCACCCTTGTGTAGTCCTAACGACTATTGCCATCCAGATTATTGTTTGGTCGAGGTTTCAGAATCAGCTTCCCTGTGTCATCACAACTCATATTGAAATCACTAAGAACTGTCCGCATCCGAGTTGTAATAATTTTTGGCGCAAATACTAATTTGTGTATGCCCATAATAAAAAGTATAACTAAAATATATTAAACAGTTATATATTTTGGACTTAAATTCCAGCTTTATGTTTTGTGATTTTACCAAGCATCATTGTGGCAACCGTAAACATTGGATGTAACAAGAGTGACTCTATTAGGGGCACAATTGATGTTCGAGGATCACGAAGCCAATAATACGCTCCAATGGCGGTGCATATAGAAATCGTGGCAAGAACAACTGTAAAACATATATTAGTTAAATAGACGTTTACAATACAGAAGAAATTCTTACTTCGCCATCGTAATGTAGATGGTCCATATGATGATACCACTTCTGTGAGTCTTCGCTCAAATGCTTTCAAATCTGCAAATGAACTTTAAATTTACTTTAAACACACAATATGATAAAAAGTTGTTTTAAACTCTTGAACTACATTGTTCGAAATAATTATATTTTTACACGGTAAATACCTTCACAGGCTGATGGCTCCATAATATCAAATATTTCCATGCAATTAAATTCAAAATGGCAATTTCTTTATTTCGTTTTTCATTTCGAATTATAATTTGTCCAAACTTGATATTTCAATTTTGTTTAACAATTGGATTTTGCACCACAAACTGTATGTCCAAAGAAGTACCGTCTGAGCAGCGAACGTATAATATAGAGAAGGTGCAAAGCCAGCGTTTCTGACATTTCTGGCAGACAAATTTCGTTTGGAGTAATTGTCATCATTTACGTTCTCTGTCTTGAATTTCTGTTTCACCTCGATGTGAAAGATTAACAGAATCGAGCGTATTGAAACACACCACAGAACTAAAATCTACGTAAATGTAAATTAACAGCCGCTTTACTGACTTACTTTTATCAGAGTATGTTAATATAATGAGAAGGCGCTAATGTTCAGTCGCGTCGGATCGCTTAGTACATATAAGACCCAATGGGGAGCCAATCGAAATTGAAGACTTTGGGATTTCAGCTCAATTTCAAAAAATATATTAATTATTTGAAAATAATATTTTCGTTTATTTTGATAACAAGCCTACCAAAATTCGTTATCTGAAGTTAACATAAATAAAGTTAGTTGCAGCCAGAGCAGTACATTTCTGAGCATATATAATTTTGCTACGCTCAGTAGTGTTTGCACCAATAGCAAACTCTGTTAGTTTCTGACGGCCTGTGGTGAAATGCAGCCATAGTAACTTGGCAGCTTTTGACAGTTTACACGCTGGTCCGCAATTGATCCTTCTCGTTGTATTTACGTTCTCTGATGTGAATGTGGAATTGGTTGGAATTTTTGCCGCCACTTCTAATCAACGATTTTCCTGTGGTTTTTTCTTGTGATTTGGAAGAAAATTAATTGTTTTAAAACATGAGTGCAACTAAGGTTCCATTAGAGTGGAAACGACGAGTTAAAACTGAGTATATGAAGATTAGACAGCAAAAGCGATATAAACGGGCCGATGAGATTAAGGAAGCTTGGATCAAAAATTGGTTTGACTTTATGGACACATGTAATATATATATAGCTTATTTATTCTAAGTATTATAGGGAAGAACATAATTATAATGTACAGGACTTATATTGTGAGCCCAAAGTGTGGCATGCGCAGCCCTACGAGCCTCCACATTTGGACTGTGTAAGAAGAGCCGAGATTATTGGTTACAATGGCGCTGGTCCGCAGAGGGTTCCCATCTGCATAATAAACGCTGTAACCCCAATACCTACAATGTACACATGGGCACCAACCCAACAAAATTTCATGGTGGAAGACGAAACTGTTTTGCACAACATTCCCTATATGGGGGACGAAGTACTCGACAAAGATGGGAAATTCATTGAGGAACTAATAAAAAATTATGATGGCAAAGTTCATGGAGACAAAGACCCATCTTTTATGGATGATGCTATATTTGTTGAATTAGTACATGCTCTAATGCGAAACTACAATAAAGATGAAGAATCAACTTCCATTATAAATGGTGGTGTAAATAAATTGGATGCAACAAAGAGTGATGTACTTATTAAAGGCGATATAGCAATCGAAACTTCAGGGAACGTGAAAGATTTTAAAAGTGCCGATATATGCACAGAGAAAAAGCAAGATAAGGAATTAAAAGAAAAACTACCTTTTCCAACTCCAATTATATTTCAGGCCATCAGTTCCAACTTTCCAGATAAGGGAAATCCACAAGAATTAAAGGAGAAGTATGGTTGCCAATTTTTTTTATATTTTAATAACTTACACGTTATATTTGACAGATACATTGAACTAACTGAACATCAGGATCCTGAAAGGCCTCAGGAGTGTACACCTAATATTGATGGTGAAAAAGCGGAAAGTGTATCTCGAGAGCGAACAATGCATTCCTTTCACACGCTATTTTGTCGGCGATGCTTTAAATACGATTGCTTTCTTCATCGTAAGTAAATTGCTTTTACAATATGTTCTATTCATAGAAATTTTCAGTGCTGATGCTAAAAAGTGACGTTCGAAACCGTATAAACGTAAATAGTTTTAAATACACATAGAAAGATTAAAGCGTCACGGCATTTTTGCTGTTAAAAGCTCAATTTATTTTTCCATTTTTCTTTTTCGTTTGCATATAACGAAATGAATTCTTAAAAATGATATTGATACATAAAATGATACCGAATATTTGAATCTTCAAATCAACTGCAACTCAGGTCACCAAACGAACGGTGAGTTGTAGTTAATAATTGTTTTTATTCATAAATGTCACTTTAAAATAATCAAAATGGTTCACACTTATCATATAACCAATCAACTTCATCATCACTGGTGATATCTAGACCAAGAAATATCAGTTCATCCAATAGCGGAATAGATAAAAACAGTTTAAAGATTTATTTATATTCAAATGATAATTAATATTTTACTAGTTACATAAATATTTTCATACAACAAGAAAAAGTTTATATTCGTGTCACTGGGAAGAAAGATGTGTGTAAATGTGTATTTTTTTATTTAGAATAACTTAACTTAAAAACATTAAGAAATTTTTTGCGAATTTGAGAACATTATTGAATAAGTTAAACCGATCAAAAATTTTATTCTCTTCTCTTACAACCATTCATTTTCTAATACTACAAATATTTATGTATGTATGTATAGTCATCTCATCACACATATTCTATCGTTGAATATTAGTTTAATAAAATACGGGTTTATCGTTTATAAAAACTTTTTACTTAAAATAGGTCTCCAAGTCGGACATGCTGGACCCAATTTACAAAAACGACGATTTCCAGAATTAAAGCCATTTACTGATCCCTGCAGTAATGCCTGCTATATGTTATTGGTAAGAAACCTTATTTATTTATATACAGAACTTTTAATTTCTAACTAATTACTTATTTAGGATGGCATGAAAGAGAAATTAGCGGCGGATAGTAAGACGCCGCCAATTGATTCTTGTAACGAAGCCAGTTCTGAAGACAGTAACGATAGCAACAGCCAATTCAGCAACAAAGACTTTAGTGCGGAGAATATAAAAGAAAATAGTGTTGCTGTCAACAGTGCGGTTTCAGCAGAAATAAACTCTATAATGGGTAAAACTTATTTTCACCTACCTTTGGTGATAACCTGCTAAATACTGTATTTTCTCATTTCAGCTGGAATGATGAATACGACTAACTCGAGATGCGATTGGACCGGTGCAGATCAATCTTTATTTCGAACATTACACAAAGTATTTTTAAAAAATTATTGCGCAATCGCTCAGACTATGCTTACGAAGACTTGCCAACAGGTATGAATTTATCTACGCTTCAGCTGGAAACTATGCAATTGTCCTACTTTGGTTTTGGTTAATGTTTATATCTGTCTGCAGGTGTACGAGTTTGCACAAAAAGAAGACGCAGAGTTTTGCATTGAGGAGTTACGCCAAGATTATACACCGCCACGCAAGAAGAAGAAGAAACAACGTCTGTGGTCACTTCATTGCAGAAAGATACAATTAAAGAAAGATTCATCATCGAACCATGTTTATAACTATACCCCTTGTGACCATGCCGGTCCTTGTGACATGAATTGCTCATGCATTCAAACTCAAAACTTTTGTGAGAAGTTTTGCAACTGTAGTAGTGATTGCCAGAACCGTTTTCCCGGTTGTCGCTGTAAGGCACAATGTAACACAAAGCAATGCCCTTGTTATTTGGCGGTGCGTGAGTGCGATCCAGATTTATGTCAAGCCTGTGGTGCTGATCAGTTTAAGTTGACAAAAATAACTTGTAAAAATGTGTGTGTGCAACGAGGTCTACGTAAGTCATGTGAAATTAATTTTTGCTATAAATCGCTTGCATATATAAACATATTTCAGATAAACACTTACTAATGGCTCCGTCTGATATAGCTGGTTGGGGTATATTTCTTAAAGAAGGTGCTCAAAAGAACGAATTTATTTCAGAATATTGTGGGGAAATCATTTCACAAGACGAGGCTGATCGCCGAGGGAAAGTTTATGACAAGTACATGTGCTCATTTTTATTCAATCTTAATAATGATTTTGTAGTGGACGCTACTCGAAAAGGCAATAAAATCCGTTTTGCTAACCATTCCATTAATCCTAATTGCTACGCTAAAGTAATGATGGTAACAGGAGATCATAGAATTGGAATATTTGCTAAACGTGCAATTCAACCTGGAGAAGAATTATTCTTTGATTATAGATATGGACCCACAGAACAGCTCAAATTCGTTGGCATAGAAAGAGAAATGGAAATTGTCTAATGTTCAAATAAAAATATGAATAAATACAAAGCTATATCTCCCATTTTACTAAACATAATAATTATGTGTATATTATTTTAATATCATACTGTAATAGAAACATTCGCAATAATAGGTTTTGGTCGTGATTTGAATGTTAGTTTTTTGGTGCAAATAGCTCTGACTATATACTCTGTACTGTGGCGTGATTTATTTTCCAAAGCAACCGTAGTATCAAGGGTGGTTCGATCTACCGTTTTATTTAAGGTAGAGTTTGGATCAAAAACAATACCAGACTCGTTCAAAAGAGCTTTCTTATCTTTGGTTCTTGATTTCTCAAGTACTGCTAAGGGCTTTTCCAGTTTTTGCTCACGCCCTTGTAATATATGATGTCCAATTACAAGAATCTGGAATATGAAAATTAAATCAACAAAACAAATATAATTAAACTATATCTTACCGGCTGGCCATATTTGTTATAATATAAATCCCCAATGAAAAGATCGTGTATATTTTCTCCCGATCGAATTTCCAGATCTCCTTGCAACTCAATGATGGCATATTCTTCGAGAGAAGTTGGTGAAGTTCTATAACATTGTTTATAAATGAATACTAATATGAGCCAAGATATTTACGTAAATTAAATAATCTGGACTTATTTCTTTAAAATTGTCACAAACTTAACATATTATATCACTATATGTTCATATACAAATGTATGCAGCGTAATTTACAAATATTGTCAAAATAATTTTATTTTATCTGCTGCTTACGTTTTTACTATTATAGGCATACTTTTCTGTGCGATGATAAAGTTAGACAATATCAATTTTTGTTAAATATTTACTATTTCGTTAAAAATTTACGATGGCGCGCAGCATGAAATTCCACAGTAGTGTTTTCGTCTTAAGTTGTCTTTAGACTTTACAGCTGACTTTAACATAAAGCGAATTCACTATAGCGTATTCGCCTGCTTATATCAATAAAGCAAAGAACTTGGAATTTATCATAGTTATTTGACATTATCTGATACAAGTGTGTTGTTTACTATTTCATTAAACGTAGATTAAATTGGGTCTAAAATGCTACACCTTCGGCATTTAAGCAGAATACCTGTAAATAATGGAATTTTTTCAAAGGTAACGATATACAGAACGTGAGGAATCCAAAAAATTTTAGTCTTATATAAACTTATTGTTTGCTACTTGTTTTAGTTCTTTCATTCATTCTTCTCCACCTGGTCAGCATAGCTTATTTGTATGTACAATAATGAGTTTAAATAAATTTGCAGCTTTTGGTACGAAATACAATGAGAATCAATGGCGCTTCACCGTTTTTCATAGTGTCGAAGGAAAGTACGCACTCTTTTAAATACAGTACATCCGGAACAGATGTGGTTAATAATCAGCATGAGCGATCAGATGACAATATATTGAAACGAGTTCTCAATAAAGTTGGCTTCGCACCAAATACAAAAACAGTTAGTATACTTTTTTAAGGCTTGAGGTATCCAATGAAATTTTTTATAGCCAAACAAATTACGTTTTAGCGCATAAGGGTGTCCAGCCATATGTTATATGAATGTGTAGCTGATAAGATCAATTACCTAAGTTTTTTCAAAGCTTTCAACATGCCTAACACGTTCAATTCGTGGTTTCTTGTTACCGAATTACATGTTTGGATGCTACTAGTTCGGGCTATGGCAGAAGGTTCGGAATCCGGAGAAGATGGCCGATTTCTTCGGAATTGTATTGTGGAAGTTATGTGGGGCGACGTGAATGCACGAGCTAAAAAACTAGGTGTAAGTCACCATATTCAAATATATTTTGATATAATTCATAACGAAGTACTTGCAGACACATAATCCGTCGAAAACCCGCCAGCAAATTGAAATCCTTTCGGAACAATTCCAGGCGGCACTCATTGCATACGATGAAGGTATTATGTCAGAAGATCGTGTTTTATCTGGTGCATTGTGGCGTCGTTTCTTCGCTATGAACTGCGACGACATTGTAAAAATTGAACACTTAGTGAAGTATGTACGGGAACAAATATCTATTCTGGATGAACTTTCGCGTGAAGATTTTCTACAAAAACCAAAAATATTGTGGACAAATTTAGACAAAATAAAAATTTAGTTCCATAAAATATGTTATACCTTTTGAAAAAATTAAATTGTTGAATTCCTACAATTATCGTTTATTTACTGTACATAATTAATTAAAATATGTATAAGCCTTCGTTGTAAACTTTGTTTTCCATGAGTGTAAGTAAAGTAGTAAAGCATTTAGAAAGTATTTAAAAAAAAATTATATTAAACTTTTATGTCAGATATATCTTTGTTAGTGATTGCTCTTAATTGACATTTGCAAAGGTATGCCAATATACGTCGTTCTATTTGGGCCTTCCTTTCGCTACGAACTTTCCTTAGCAAGTATGCTATTTGCCCACAGTTTTCAACGCTATAGTGAACAGATGATTTGTCTGAGATTTGGAAAGCAGTACTTGTTTCATTCTCTAAAGCTTCACTTGTAGTTTTGTCCAAAAGCCTAGACATTTCAATGCTTTTATCGGCTTCGCCCGTGAAAACTCTTTCATTAGTTTCAAGCAGTTTGTTTTTTGAGCCTTTTGATCCATACTTTATGTTTAAAGCTTTTTTAGGCTTGTCGAAAATGTTGGTAAACTCCAAAAAACGCATTCTTTCGAGATAAGGCCATGTGGATCCTCGAATGATTCCTTCCTTAGGACACAAATCGCGACAATGTCGAAGTTCCCGCTGAAAATGATTTCGCAGATTGTTCCATCGGCTTAGACAAAATTCAGCTACAAAATAAGAAATGTATATTGAATCATTTTAATTAATAAATATACAAGAATCATACGGTTAGTTCCCAAATCTGAAGCTATCATGTTCCATATACGATTCTTTTCCTTCATGCATTCGAAAGTTGAAAGTCCTCCCCAATGTCTATGATAAAGTACTGGGTGAGGTTGAACCAGTGATATTAGTTTAATATCGAACGGTCTGTTCTTTTTATGGCTTGTTCTCGTCATTTTGCTAAAATATTCCAGAACTCCATTTATTTATTCACTTATATTCAAGCAAAAAATCAATAAATAAGCCTTAAATTATAGCTCGATAAATAAACAATGACATTTTTTATAAAAGTAATGGACCAAATTTGGATGGCCTTACTTAGCGGAGACAGAGAACGTATTACATATGTTATACGTTCTCTGGCGGAGATATCTGTCAAAATTGAATAAAACTATACCAAGGCGAATTCATAAAAGTGAGAGCAGGAAAGCAAATACCGTGTATTTACGTTCTCTGTTTACAGTTGTTGCGAAAATGCGAGGCGAATGTCAGATGAAAGAGAGAAGCCGATAACTAGTACATTCTAGAAACGATAAAACAAGAACCTTCCATAGCGAACAATTCGATGCTTCTACGCTTTCGTCTGCGAGCAGCCGACTGCTATATAAAGGCGACACTCAGCT